GCAAAGAAGTGGGGGAGGTATTCTCATATCTCTTTCCAGGGCCAAGCTTAAGCTTTATCATTATGGTATTCTGTCTCTCTCTCTCTCTCTCTCTCTCTCTCTCTCTCTTCTCTCTCTCTCTCTCTCTCTCTCTCTCTCTCTCTCTCTCTCTCTCTCTCTCTCTCTCTCTCTCTCTCTCTCTCTCCTCTCCTCTCTCCCTCCCTTTTCCCCACCTCTCTCTCTCTCTTCCTTCATACTTCCTTTCCTTTTCTTCCTTTCTTTCTCTCCTTTTCTTTCTTTTCTTTCCTTCTTCCTCCCTCCTTCCTTCCTTTCATTTCCCATTTTCATTATTGCAGGCATTGTGTCTGTTGTTTTCCTGGTTCTGTTTATTTCACTCTGCATGAATTCATATCAGGCTTCCCATGCCTCCTCTCATTATCCTTCATATTCATTATTTCTTCCATTACATCCTTGTATCACTATTTATTTAGCCATTCCCTAGGTCCTTGGTCACCTGCTTACTTTGTGATTCTTTGCTCCTACAAAATATTCTTTTAAAAGAACATATACATTCACATCAGACGTAAGAACACCAGCATTAGGATGAAAGTTAGGCATTCTATTGTAACGTACTGCAGAAAGCAAGCGTGTGTCCATGACTCCAGGTATTTATAAAACACTAAGGCAGCCAAGTATGAGAGGCATGCTGGGAAAGTTCTCACCATTGTTCACAGAGGTTTCTGGTAGAACCGAGATAAAGCTATTTCTGAGGGTGGGAATGAGGAGTGGGGTAGAGTGAGGGATGAAAATTATTTACTAATAATAGATGAATAAATAATTTAATTGCTTAACATTTTACCTCATGCAGCTAGATTTACATTGTACCTCTCATTTGCATTTATGTTCAATCTTGCATTCTAATTATATTTGTATGTGTTGCATACCCCTTAATAAGTGGTAAGCTTAATAAAAGCAGGGACTTTGGTTTAACTTCTCAGGGATCCCAGAATCTTGGATTTGGAAAGGACTTCTGCATATGAATGAGAATCCTTTCCATAGCATTAGTTAGTGGTCATCCTGAACCCCCCCTTTTTTTTCCTGGTAAGGCAACTGGGGTTAAGTGACTTGCCCAGGGTCACACAGCTGTAAGTGTCAAGCGTTTGAGGTCACATTTGAACTCAGGTCCTCCTGACTCCAGGGCTGGGGCTCTATCCACTGTGCCACCTCGCTGCCCCCTGTCCAGCCCTTTTTGGAAGCTCAGCAATGAGGCATTTGGATAGCTCCACTTTTTAGGGAGTTTGCCCTTCCTGTCTACATTTTTTCCTTTGCAATGTCTGCCCTTTATTATTAATTCTGCCCTCCAAGGTCAAACAGAACAAATCTACAGCCTTTTGTATCATTGTATCTTCCTCTGTCCTTAGCCCCCAGCCTCATACACACTTTGCACTGCCGTCTACATATATTAAGCGCTTAATAAGTGATAAATAGAACTGTATTCAGTTAAGTAAAAAAATCTCAACAGTGTTCTCTAAGGTGGTCCTATCCTGATTTTCAGTAAGATTGTTGCTGAAAGCCAGTTAAATGGTAAAGGAAGGTAGATTGCTTTCAAGACCTCTGGGACACATGATTTGAGGTAAACCTGCCCTTCTATCAAAAAGAGTATTTTTAATTCTAAGAAGTTATTGCAAATAACCCTTGGCCTTTTGCTCATGTTAGAATAGCCTTCGGCCTTGAGGCCACACGTGGCCCTCTAGGTCCTGAAGTGCAGCTCTTTGACTGAATCCAAACTTTCACAGAATAAATCCTTTCATTAAGGGTATTTGTTCTGTGAAGTTTGGATTCAGTCAAAAGGCCACACTGGAGGACCTAGAGGGCCACGTGTGGCCTTGGGGCCACAAGTTCTCCACTCTTGGCCTAGATTGTGCGTTTTTTTGTTTTGGTTTTGTGTGTGTGTGTGTGTTTTGCTTTTTTATTTGGTGAGGCAGTCAGAGTTAAGTGACTTGTCCAGAGTCACACAGCTAATAAGTGTTAAGTGTCTGAGGCTGGATTTGAACTCAGGTCTCCTGACTCCAAGGCCAGAGCTCTATTAACTGCGCCAACTAGCTGCCCCCTAGATTGTGCGTTTTAATTGAAAAAAATATATTCTGTAATTATGCATGACTTTAGCATTCATAGAAAATATTTCTAGCCAGGTATAATTATGAAATACTTAAAAAATGCCCAGTTCAGATTTTCATATTCAGAGAAAACATCTCTAGATCTAGAAGTATCAGACTTTTATTGTACTCAAGGAAATCTTTTCATTCACTAACATTCATTGTACAAGTATTTATTAAGCACCTAATATGTGTGAGAGCCTGTTTGAGGAACTGGGGCTACCCTTCCTCCCCCAAACCAAACCCTCAAAACAGCCTTTGGTTACAAGGAAAATACATTCTACTGGGGGAAATAACATGTAGACATATAATTCAGTTCTAGTCAACTTGAAGCGCCTACTATGTGCAAGGCAGAGTGGTGAATT